ACTCCCTCTTGAGATGGTTCGTCGAATTGGATGACGCCATAAGGGCGCGTCGCATCGACGACGGGGATATGCAAGTTGCATTTGCCCAGTCAAATCTGGCAGGACGTGCCAAGACTTGGGCACTGGGGCTCAAGCTGCACGACCCATATGCGTTTGGGTCGTTGGAAGTCTTCAAGTCGCGGCTCAGACAAACGTTTGAACCGCCTAGAGCTGAGTTCAGAGCTCGAACCGAACTCTTGAAGCTCAAGCAGGGTAAGCGTGATGTGCACGCTTACGCTCAACATATACGACATCTCACGAGTTGTATAAGTTCCAATCCGGTGGATGAACACACGTTGGTTTCGGTGTTCATGCAGGGTCTTGCGGATGGTCCCGTCAAGACTCACCTGTTCCGGCTTGAACTAGATTCACTAGAACAAGCCATTTCAATTGCGGAGCAGGAAGACTTCAGTCTGAGACAGGCTCGCGCCAGCTCGACATCATATCGTCAACCGAGACGATATGACAACGGAGGTCCAGAGCCGATGGAACTCTGTTATGTAGAGAGCGAGAAGGCTCGCTCTACAGGCTACAAGAAGTTGCAGAGATGCAACAGATGTCAAAAGACAGGACACTACGCTTACGAGTGTAGTGCCCCTCGTCCAGTGTCTCGCGACACTGGGCGTAGTGACCGTCCACCCATGAGAAAGGGGCAGGGACGAGGGTCCGCAGTTGGTGCAAAGACGCAACAACGGGATGGACCGTCAAAAAACGGACAGGATCAGTAGGTGCGGAGCACCCTACTGATCCAGCAACGTCAAGAGAATTTGTAGGCCTCTTGATGAAGGTTGCTCCCAACACACAGACATTGTGCGTTGCTGCTCTAGGTAATGAGATCTCACTCATTACCTTGAAACTCGAAGTGACGAATAAGTTGTCCCTTCGAGCTCTAGTCGATTGTGGGGCGTCCAACAATTTTGTGCGACGCCAATCGCTAGAAGATGGTCACTTTAAATTCAGTGAATGTGACACACCTCCTACGAGGATGACGGTACGTCTTGCGACAGGCGCATCCGTAACCGTCATGAAGCGTATAGTGAAGATTCACTATACGCTAGAAGATACCCAATACGACGATGACTTTATCGTATTGGATTTGGATGACAAATTTGATGTCATCCTTGGAATACCGTGGCTCAGAAGGTACGAACCACGGGTAAACTGGCAACATCGGACAGTAACGATGCCTGCCGCTTGTTCATCAGATGGCCATCTGATGAACGTTTTGGAGCGTCCACAAGCGTGTGGATGTACTACGAGTGAGTGCGATGGCCTCACTTGTGGTACGGTCGTTAGTACGACTGCACAAAACCTTAGTGTACCAAACGGTTACACTTCGGAGCAAAGTTCCGGCGGCTGTGAGGAAACACAGGCTGCGCCGAAGGTCCACCACTCGAATGAGTCGGGTGGACTGGGACAAAGATGTATCCCTAGAGGGGAACATCTAGAAGAGAAACCATCGATCGCTCAGGTTAAGCGAAACGATAATCCTAGATCGACTGGAGAGTCTTTCGTAGAGGATCTCGCTGTGGTTGCGCAACCCCAGCTAGAGGAAGTAAAGGGAATAAGTCCCAAGATTACAAATACGGCGGAAATAAGTTCCCCGAAACCCGCGGGAATAAGTCCCCGGGAAGACGAAGGAATAAGTCCTTCGAAGCCTGAGGGAATAAGTCCCCAGGAAATGACAGAGACATTGAATGTCATAGTCAATAACGGATCATGTGTAGGCGCTTATACACTTGATCTGATTGCGCCTCCGAAGTTAACTTCGGAGATCACTCAGTTGCCAACGCTCGAACATAAAAGATTCTTGCGTGATCTGCGTAGTGGCAAAGTCAAGCAGATCTGCATACTCGTCGCTGAAGACGAGTATGTAACCGACATAAGGTCAGCAACAGTGTTTACTGAGAACGAGAGAGTTCTCAGTAGTTCATCTATGGACGAGAGTGTCCTAGATGAAAAGACACGAATTGAGCGATAAGACTCTAAATCATGGGAATCGCTCAAGGAAAATCCTCTCTATGAAGATTTGGTTGAATTCAAGGATGTATTCCCTGAAACTGTTCCGTGCGAATTACCGAAGGATAAAGGTATTCGACACGAAGTCGAGCTTAAACCAGGCTCGAAGTACTGTGTCATGAAGCAGTGGCCACTGCCTCGTGAACAAGTACTTGCGATCGACAAGTTCTTTGCCGATCGTTTAGCTGCGGGCCATGTGAGGGAATCAACTTCCCCACATAGCTCTCCGATCTTCTGTGTGCGAAAAGCAACAGGAGGGTGGCGGATAGTGCACGCGTTTAACAAATTGAACGCTGCAACGGTACCGGCTCAGACGCCGATACCGAGGAAGGACGTAATCATTGATGGTATGTCAAAGAGTACCATCTTTTCGTCCATGGATTTGATGGATGGCTTCTATCAAATCCTAATGCGGGAACGGGATATACCCTATACCGCAGTTAGCACGCCCTAGCGGCATGCTCTGGGAATGGCTAGTAATGCCACAAGGGCTCAGTAATGCCCCTGCCACGTTCAACAGATGTGTATCACATCTGTTGAGGCCAGTACGAGAATTCGCGCCGAGTTATTTCGATGACGTATTCATCCATAGTCGAGCTATGGATGGAAAGTCGGACGTTGAGGTTCACAAGTACCACGTCCGACAAGTTCTTACAATCATGCGAAAGCATCAATTGTATGCAAACCTCAAGAAGTGTATATTTGCCGCAAGCGAAATACCACTTCTTGGGTGCATCGTTGGTAAGAACGGTGTACGTCCTGATCCCGAAAAGATCAAGGCGATCACCGACTGGCCCGTGCCGGTCGATGTCAAAGGTCTTCGAAAATTCCTTGGGCTAGCGGCGTATTTGCATAAGTATTCACGCAATTACGCCGAGATGACTGTACACCTCTCTCGTTTGTTGAAAAAGAACGAGAGGTGGTTATGGAACGCTGAATGTCAACGCTCCTTTGAGGGTATCAAGCAGAGCTTGATACAATCCCCAGTCCTAGCAATAGCCGATCAGGACAGGCCATTTCATGTGGTCTGTGATGCCAGCGATTTTGCAATCGGCTGTGCATTAATGCAGTACGACCTTGAAGGCGTTGAACGCGTCGTCTGCTATCAGTCGCGTCAGCTGCAACCAGCTGAGCGGAACTATCCAGTGCATGACAAGGAACTCCTTGCCATGAAGTATGCACTCGCGAAGTTCAGAGTCTATCTATTAGGAGATAGACCCTTCGTTGTTTACACTGACCATGCGTCCTTACGCACGGCAGTGAACAGCCCGCACCTTTCACAACGAATGGCGCGGTGGTTGTCATTCTTTGCAGAATACAACTTTACGGTCGAGTACAAACCAGGACGACTTAATGTCGTCGCTGATGCGCTCTCACGTCGTCCCGACTTTGAAACAGTCGCGAAACCCAACAGTGAGACAGTCACTGTTGCGGTTATGACGTCCTCAGTTCCATCTACAACGTTGTATGATGATGTGAGGCGGGCATACGCCCAAGATGGTGAGATAGTGAAGTTGTTGTCACATCTCTCCCAACCATCTCGAGAATCGTTGAAACGATTATCGTCTGCGTATCGATCTGCATCAGATCGATACACTACTCGTAACGGTTTACTGTACTATACAGCCGTTTCTGGTGACACACCACGTGTTGTCATTCCAGATGATACTGATCTGCGTTTGCGGATCATGTTCGAGTATCACGATGCTCCTATAGGAGGACATCGTGGCCGAGAGAAAACATATCTCACGGTAAGTCGAGACTTTTACTGGCCCCGCCAGTATCAGTTTGTGCGAAAGTATGTTCGCGCATGCGAAGTCTGCCAACGAGTGAAGTCAAGTCCTTCACTGCGTGCACCTTTACAGCCTCTACCGGTTCCGGCTGAGTGCTGGGAATCCATCTCAATGGATTTCGTCTTCGAGTTACCCAAAGACGCACGCGGGAATACGGGTATTCTCGTATTTGTTGACAGATTCAGCAAAATGGTACACCTTGTGGCTGTACCAGAGACAATCACGGCAAGTGGCTGTGCTTGTGTCTTTATTGACACCATCTTCCGACTTCATGGGTTGCCCCGTGAACTCGTATCAGACAGAGATCCACGATTCACTGCTGATTTCTGGCGTTCCGTGTTCAAATCACTCGGAATGCGCTTGAAGATGTCAACATCTGATCATCCAGAGTCAGATGGTCAGACGGAACGTGCCAATCGTGTCCTTGAAGAGATACTTCGAGGATACGTACACTCCTTTAAGAGTTGGAGTGAGTTTTTGCCAATGGTAGAGTTTGCCATTAACAACTCGGTGCATGCGTCCACGACACATACACCGTTTTACGTGAATGGCTTGCGCCATCCGCGTGTACCCACCTTACTAGAGTGTAACTCTGGTTTAAGGGGGGAGGGACTCGCGCGAGCAAAAACCGATTTGGTTCACGCTCATCACGCTCTGACGAAGAAGTCATTGCGTTTGATGCCGATATCGATAACATCGATATCGAAGAAGATGATGCCAGTGAGAGTGCGGAAGCCCTCATTGAAGACAATGATCCCAGTGAGAGTGCGGAAGCCCTCACTGAAGAAAAGGTTGTTGTCGCTGCAGTGCGCTCACAGCACACTGAAGCTAACGAGTCATCAGATGAGTTCATACTGGCTCGTGAAACGGTAGTCCGTTTTGTGCAAGACTCCATCGCCGAAGCGGTGGATAAGCAAAAGCAAAACGCTGACAAGAATGGAAGGGCAAACACTCTTTTATTTAATAAAGGTGACTTAGTCCTACTGTCTACGGTTAATCTACCAAAGCATGTAGTGACTAACTTGGGTAGCAGTAAACTACTACCCAAGTACATTGGCCCATTTCGTGTATTGCACCGCCTAGGCAATGCATACACGATCGAGTTGCCACGTAAGATGCGAACGCATCCCACGTTTTACGTTGGTCGGCTTAAGCCGTACCATCAGTACGCTGCTTCTTCCGATGAAGAACGCCCTTGCGCTCAAGCATCTCGCAGAGAGCCTTGTGCTCCCGATGGTGGGCATCAACAAGGGTCTGAAGAGCAGTTATCTCAGCCCGAGACCGATCAACAATCCCACGAGCTACCCTTAGCTCGTCACGAAGAGATGTCAGAGATCTCTCGTTCTCAAGCTGAGCAAAGGCAAACTCAGCTCGATGCTTCAAGGCAGTGTCCACCATCTGGAGACGCCTATTCCGCTCATGCTCGAGATCGTCGCGTAACCCTTGCGTTACGCGATCAAAGAAGCTCTCGGGAACACACCGATCCACATGATCGTGTGGAGAGCGTCTTTCCTCCTCCTCCACCTCCATTAGAGGACTCTCGCGGTGGCCAGCGCTATCTAGTTGAGCAGCTGTTGAACCACCGCGAAGTGAACGGACGTCGGACGAGTTACCTCGTCCGGTGGCGCGGCTATCCCCCGTCCTGGGATTCTTGGGAGCCCCGCTCCCAATTGATGGTTGACGTACTGGGTCTGGTCGAGCAGTACGACGCGACACATCCTGTGCCGCAGAAGGACCGCCGGAGAAAGTCTTCCCGGCACGGTCGTAAAGGGATTTCAAGTTGTCAATCCCTTCGTACATCTCAGTAGAGACACGTACGCGCCACCACGGGCTGGTAAGGAGGTAAGCCTCCTTAGGTGCTCGTGCAGAGTTGTTCACACAACATGGGCACGAGTCTCCCCAAGAGAGGCAGGGTAATCCTTTCTCCCTTGACAGACGATGCAGCTTGTAGCGTGCACCTGTCGGGGTTCGCTTTTCAAACTTATCACGAGCTTTGATAAGTTTGTCGTTCCAAGCGTCACGACCTACATTCTCGAGATTATGGATGTAGGCGTTCCACGCCTGAAGTAGTGAGGGACCATCACGTTTGTGATTCCCACTGTACCATCGATGTCTGAAGAAAGCATCGATGAAGAACTCATGTTCAGCGCGATAGTCTTTCGCGCTGGGGTCAAGGTGATGAATCCTCGACGAATCGAACAATCGTGTTCGATAACGATCACTCGTCGTCGCCGACAAGTGATCCATGACAGATTTAGGAGGCATCCATGCCTTCTTTTCTGGAGCGAGACGCAACACATTGCGATCCCGCTCTTCCTGCGACGTGCCGACAGAAGTACTGGCACTCGCTGTGAAGTGGTGTCCATTGGAGAAACGACACCACTATTAGCGCCCGAGTCTCGCGACCTCGAGCGCCTTCGCTTCGGCGATGGTTCATCTGACTCATCAGATGAACCAAAGATGCTGCGACGCAAAGCATCGTCCATGCCACGCTTGGCAGGCGGCTTGGATTCAATTGCCGTCGATACGGATCCGTCATCCGTATCAGGAGAGTACGAGACACCGAGCTCGTACTCTGTGAAGACACGAGTGTCTTCATGACCAGCGCCTGCATCACCAGGTGATACAGGCTGAGTCGATTCAGCAACCGATGGGACATCAGTTGCTGTAGTTTCTGCTTCGGCGTCCGCACAGAGACGTGCAGACGCGCTCTCGGCGGCCTTGCTCGCGCATCGCATGGGCTTGTTTACCATGCGATGAGATGTTGGAAAGTGGACTCGGACCAACAAGTGCAAACCCCGTTCCCAAATGATTTGGGATGAGTATCCATTTAGTCAATCAGTCACTAAAGTGACTGATGGTTAAGGGGGGTGATGTAACGGGGTGAATCGTTACATAACAATTTATAAGAAATTGTTAATAGAATATAAGTATAAGAGTTATATTCTCAGAATATTGTCATAAGGACAAATATTCTGTAGCACTTACGAGTAGTTCGTAATTGATTGATATAGGCCATTATATCAACCAACGAAGACGCGCCACGACAGACGCACGCAATGAGTGGTGAGCAGATAACTGATTTACACATTTGTATTTAGACATAGTTAGATGAAGATAAATAGTGATTTATTGCAGACATTAACTATTATAAATACAGTTCTACTTTTTACTCTAACCAAGTACTCGCTTCTTCTTACCGTCTTCCTCTGCACGTACGAGTGTACGTGAAGTTACGAGGCACCGCCTTATTCTGTTATCAGAATAAGTAGCTTGTACTGTCACCAGTACAAGCTTCAGGGTGCCCCGTTACAGACGTCCTAACGAAAGTCTTCTTGATAGTCTTCCGTTAGTCGGAGACCTACTGGCACATTCGGATACCCGTCCTAACGAAAGTCTTCTTGATAGTCTTCCGTTAGTCGGAGACCTACTGGCACATTCGGATACCCGTCCTAACGAAAGTCTTCTTGACAGCGTTCCGTTAGTCGGAGACCTACTGGCACATTCGGAGAACCGTCCTAACGAAGTTCTTGATGCACTTCCGATAGTCGGGACACTTCGTAGACAATAATCGTTCCTGAGATTGTCGGATCTCCACGGTAGTAGACTGTTGGGGTAGTTGGATGTAAAAGCCGAAGTGAATATATTTAAGGTCCTTAGTTCACTACCCTTAGCTAAGTCTAAGCCTTAATGTAACGACATCCTGTGATCTCATTATGTAACCGCGATCCATAACCTTCTTCCGTAATAACCACCATGAAACACCCTGACACAGAAATCATCACCATGAACCCAACATGAAAAGACTGCACGAAGCGGCGTATTCTCAACAATTTTGATATCTAAAGGTACAAGGGAATCGAAGAATATTCCTTCATGAGATGGTTCGTCGATTTAGACGACGCCATAAGGGCATGTCACATCGAGGTTGACGAGATGCAAGTCACCTTCACCCTGCCAAATTTGACAGGAAAAGCGAAGACTTGGGCGTTAGAGCTCAAGCTTCACGAACCGAACGTGTATAAGTCGATAAGCATCTTGCAGTCTCGGCTAAAAGATACGTTTGAGCTGCCAAGAGCCGAGTTCAGAGCACTCTCTGTAGTCCTAAGGCTAAAAAAGGTAAGCGTGATGTGCACACTTAAGCACAACGCCTACGCTACCTTTCGAGTAGCGTCACGGGATATCCTGTTCGATCAGCACCGCTCATCAACGCTTTCATCTACGGTCTTGTGGATACACCGGTCAAGATCTAAATTTTTCGAGAGAACTTACGTACGCTGGAAAAGGCGATAGCGTGTGGGAGACAAGAAGACTTCAGCCTGAGACAGTCTCAGGCTAACTCATCCAGCTATCGTCCGAAAAGACGACAGGAAACAGCAGGTCCCGAACCAATGGACCTCTGTTAATCGAGATCGAGAACTCTTAGAGTCACAAGCAACGGCAAGATACCATCGCTGTCAGAAGTTTGGACACTACGCTCATGAGTGTAATGTTTTCAGCACCGCAACACGTCCGAAAACAGGACGTGATGACCACCGTTGGCCAAGGAAAGGTCCAAGGCGCGAGTCAGATCATGTCACTAAACCGCGACACCAAGTAGGACCGCAAAAATACGGTCAGGGTCAGTAGGGTAGAGCACCCTGCTGATCCAACAACGTCAAGAGACTTTGCAGGATTCTTGACGAAGATTGCTCCCAACACACAGTCGCTGTGTGTTACTGCCCTTAGTGATGAGGTGTCCCTCATCACTCTGAAGATCGAAGTGACAAGTGAAATGTAAATTCGCGCCCTAGTTGACTGTGGTGCGTCGAACAGTTTTATCCGACGCCAGTCGCTAGGAATGAGTAAGATCAACTATGTTGAGCGAAATAACCCTCCAATGAGGATGACGGTGTGCCCTGCAACAGGCGCATCCGTAACAGTGAATAAAATTGTAGTGTAAATCCACTCCACGCCAAAAGGAAAGCAGTACGATGACAATTCATCGTACTGGATCTGGATGACAAATTTGATGTCATCCTCAGTCTGCCATGGCTTAGAAAGTACCAGCCATGGGTAGCTGGCAGCATCGATCCGTGAAGATGCCTGTCGTCTGTCCATCAGATGAACATCTGATGAACGTCTTGGAGCGTTCTCAAACATATGGATGTACTACGAGTGAGTGCGATGGCCTCACTTGTAGTACGGTCGTTAGTAAGAATGCACAAGATCACAGTGTCGAAGGCCACTGCAATGAGGAACCAGCTTCCGGCACCTGTGTAGAGACACAGGCTGCGCCGAGGTTCACCACTCGAAAAGATCGAGTGGACTGGAACACGGATGCACACCAAGAAGGGTGCATCCGAGAAGAGAGATTAGTGTTGTTCAAGATGAACAACACGCTAAAGCAAGATCGACTTACAGAGAGTCGATCGTAGAGGACGTTAGTATGGTACTACACCCCATTCAGAACACGTATTGGAAGAAACTGCAAGCGTTCCTGAGAGTGATAACTCCCGAGAGAGTTGTGTTGAGGTTGTGGATCCCCAACCACCTGTGGATGTGTTCTTTCAGGAAATCACCAAGACAGTGAATGTCTTGGTGGATGAAGGATCAAGTGTAGACGCTTATACACTTGATCTAGTTACACAACCGAAGTCAGCTTCGGAGGTAGTCAAGTTGCCAACGCTAGAATCTAAAAGATTCTTGCAAGATCTTCGTAGTGACAAGATCAAGCAGATCTGCGTACTCGTCACAGAGGACGAATACGTCGCCGATATTCGTTCGGCACAAGTGTTTGCTGAGAACGCACGGGTTCTCAGTAGATCATCGATGGACGAGAGTGTCCTCGATGAGAAGACTTCGAATGAGCGATACACGTCTCAATCATGGGAGTCTTTGAAGACAAATCCTTTGTATAAACATTTGGTCGAATTTAGGGATGTTTTCCCGGAATCCGTGCCATGCGAGCTGCCCAAGGACAAACGTACTCGGCATGAGATCAAACTGAAACCTGGTTCGAAATACTGTGTCTAGAAGCAGTGGCCATTGCCTCGTGAACGGGTCACAGCGATCGACACATTTTTTGGTGATCGCGTAGCGGCTGGTCATGTGAGGGAATCAACATCCCCACACAGCTCTCCGACCTTCTGTGTGCGAAAGGCCATAGGAGGAGGTCGGATAGTGCACACGTTCAACAAACTGAACGCTGCAACGGTACCGGCTCGAACGCCGACCCCAAGAAAGAACGTCATCATAGATGGTATGGCAAAGAGTACCATCTTTTCGTCCATGGATCGGATGGATGGATTCTATCAGATCCTCATGCGTGAACGGGACATCCCGTACACAGCAGTGAGCACCCTTAGGGGTATGCTCTGGGAGTGGCTAGTGATGCCACAGGGGCTAAGTAGCGCCCCCGCAACGTTCAGCAGATGTGTTACGAATCTGTTGCGATTGGTGCGCGACTTCGCACCGAGTTCCTTCGACGATGTCTTCGTCCATAGCCAGGATATAAATGGAAAGACGGACGTGGAGGTTCATGGAATCCATGTCCGGGAGGTTCTTACACTAATTCGAGAGCATAAGTTGTTCGGGAACCTCAAGAATTGTATATTCGCAGCGAACGAATACCACTTCTTGGCTGCATCGCGGGTAAAAACGGTGTATGCCCTGGTCCGGAAAAGATCAAGGCGATTAGCGACTGGCCCGTGCCAGTCGACGTCAAGGGACTTCAAAGGTTCCTTGGCTTGGTGGCGTACTTGCACAAGTACTCGCGCAACTACGCCGAGATGACCGTACATCTCTCTCTTCTGCTGAAGAAAACGAGATGTGGTCGTGGAGTGCTGAGTGTCAGCACTCCTTTGAAGGTATCAAGAAAAGCTTGATACAATCGCCAGTGTTGGCGATCGCAGACCAGGACATACCATTCCATGTGGTATTTGACGCCAGCGATTTTGCAATCGGCTGCGCGTTAATGCAGTACGACTCAGACGGCGTTGAGCGCGTCGTCTGTTATCAATTGCGTCAGCTGCAAGCAGCTGTGCAGAATTACCTGGTCTATAACAAGGAACTCCTTGCCATGAAATATGCACTGGCTAAGTTTCGGGTATATCTCTTAGGAGATAGGCCTTTCATCGTTTATACCGACCATGCTTCATTACGCACGGCCGTAAACAGTCCACACCACTCGCAACGAATGGCGATGTGGCCGTCTTTCTTCGCGGAGTACAACTTCTCCGTCGAGTATGAAACCGGACGACTTAATGTCGTCGCTGATGCTCTTTCGCGTCGGCCCGATTTTGAGCCGACTGCTCAACCCAACAGTAGGAGTGATCCCACAGTAGCGACACTAACAGTGACTGTTCCGTCGTCGGATCTGCTCGACGAAGTGCGGAATGCTTACGCAGAAGATAGGTATCTTCTGCGATTGATGGATTACGTGTCGAATCCATGCAGTCAAGCTTTGAAAAGCTTGTCTTCTTAATACCGCTCTTCAACCGAACGGTATTCGGTTCGTGATGGAATGCTGTACTATACAGCAGTCAACGGTTACACACCTCTTGTCGTCGTTCTCGATCACAATGATTTGCGATTGCGCATCAAGTGTGAGTGTCATGATGCCCCAACAAGTGGGCATCGCGGTAAAGAAAAGACTTACCTCACGGTAAGTTGTGACTTCTACTGGTCTTGTCAGTATGGGTTTGTGTGCAAACAAATTAGCGCTTGCGAAGTTTGCCAACAGTTGAAGCCTAGTCCT